GGACAATGGGCACAAACACTTGCTTAGCCACAGCTTGTGGCTCTGACTGGTTCAATCGCTTATATAACTTCCATCAAGAGTCCAGCCTGTCCTGGCAGTGAGATGCAATTGATGCCCTAGACTTTTTCCATCTTGAATTTCTGTGACCTACAATCCAGGATGACTAATAAATGCAAGCAAATGTCAATCCAGCGACACATGGTATTCAAGGCAAGGGGGTGAAATCCAGCAGGGTACTGGGAAACTAGGTATTGCCCCAGCTAGGGCAGGACTGGGCACCCAGGCCTCCTGCATTCTCTTCCTGATGCTGTCAGTGATGTGTTACCTGACCCTGGACAACTCATCTGCTTGAAGCTACCACATTTCTCCTCTGGCTGATGGTGCCACTATTATTGCTCTGTCTCTGGGCAGTGATGGGGGTCTCAGCTCATTACTATTTGCATAGCTTATGCATAGAGGGCCCTGGAGACTTGGAAAGAATCACTACAGATACAAGCTGTAGGAAGACTTAGAGCCTGGAGCAATGTATTTCAGGCAGATTGCAACTGCCAAAGAGGATCTGTTGCTCGAGGTGGGAAGAAGAGGTGTGAGGATCAAGAAAAAGAAATGACATCATGTTCTGGCTTCTCACAGCTGTTGGAGAAGTCCGGGCCTGGATCTGGGGGAAGGAGGATGAATAATACAGGAGAGAGAAAACTGTCAGACTCCCCTCAGCACGCACATGCGGCTTTCCCAGCAAGGCTTCCTGTAGCCTGACTCAAAAGACGGGGCAAAGGGGCTGGGGCTGGTTCTGGGGCACACACATTTGCATCAAGCAACTGACCTGGGAGAAGGAGGAAATTTATAGCCTTTCATCTCCAAATCCCCATGAGGATAGAATGAGTGATAGGGCCTGTGTCTGGAGCCCTGTGTCCCAGGGCCTGTGTCTGGAGCCCCTTCTGTACCACAGGGTAGAGTCACGTGGCCCAAAACCCTGGACTGGAGCCCCCCACCCTGTGCCAGCTGTGTCCTCTCCGTGCATCTTCTCTCCCCCCTGCATCTCCAACAAAACTGGAGCACTGGTGGAAAGGCTGCTCCCGGCCCTTGGTCCTGGGAGCATGAATCTTCCCCCTCCAGCAATGTCCTGCAGCCAAGTGCAAATATTACATGTGGAAACAAGGCCTGCAGACCCTTCCAAAGACATGGGGGTCCACCCGCCTGGAAAGCAGCATCTCTGAAAGGGTTTCAGGGATCACAGCAGGTAGCAACTCAGCACCAGATCCCAGGGTAAAGATCTCCTTGGATGTAGAAACAGGGGAGTAGGTGTAAGGAGGTGATCTTGCCTAAGCTTACAGCACTGGTGAGCCCATTACTGGACCACTGAATGCAGTGCCAGTGAGCCTGTGTGATACAGGATGCTGAAATACCGGAGAGAGCCCAGAAAAGAATGATTCAAGAGCTGGAAAAAGTCCCCAGTGGTGAAGGGCAAAAGAGCAAGATCTGTTCATCCCGCCGAAGCAGAAACCAGCAAAGTGATCGGCTGGTGGTGCCGAAGTACTAGCATGGGGAGAAAAGAGCAGGTACTAAAAGGCTCTTTAAGGTAATGGAGACAAGCTGAGTAAGAGCCGACAGCTGGAAGCTGAACCAGATGCACTCAAAGTAGAACCAAGACCAGCGCTCCCCAGGCTGCTCCTTCTGGAGATGCCCCCCTCCCACCTTTCCCCCTTCCCACTCCTCCTGGACCCTTCATCATCAGAAGAAGGCCTTTCATCACCAGCATAGTAAGAGCCAAGCGAGAGCCCACCCCTGTGGGTTCTCAGGCTGCGCCTGCACTGCAGTCCTGCTGCATCCCAGGGACCTTTCCCTGCTCTTCACAGACCTTGAAGCAGCCCTTTTGGGAGGAGGGAGCCTGGGGCAGGAGGGGAGGAAGGGGCAGGAGTCATGAATGACAGCAAGGTCATCCCAGGGCTCACTGCCTTTGGTATCAATGCAGTCTCCCAACTGGTCTCCAAGTTCCACCTTTCACTTTGCCTTGTGTGCGCATACATGCCCCAGGGCAGACGGACCCCCACTGCACGCAGCCCAGACAGGCATCGATCAAACTCAAAGGATCAGCATGAGGGAGGTGTGAAAAACATAAGCATGCATCACTCAGTGCGACTGCAGCTGGCTGGCGTCTGCTGGCAGGCACGCGGGCTATAAGCGTGTGCCATCAGCCAGCCTTCCCCTGCCACCGCTGGAGTTATGCCACACCCGTCAGCAATTTTAGTCACATCCCTTATGCTGTGCAGGGCAAGGCCTGCCCCGTACTCAGAAGGGAGGCCTCCATGGAGAGTCCAGGTGCTTCAGGAACCTGCTCTCATGATTTAGCCTTTACATCCATGTCAGCACCAAACCTGCTATCTAGCATACAAGCACCATAGTACCAAGGTTTCTTGCACACAACATGCACCTTTCCCCCAAAAAATTAGCTGCTGGAAATTGGGGTATGCATTATAAGTGAGGAAAGGAAAGATCATCTTTAATATGTTCTGCCTTTCACAAACCAAGTGCATTTGGGGCATGCTGCGTGCAAAAACATATGGTACTCCTCACAAGGAAGGCAAGCTCTTCAGAGAGCTCTGGCCCTGAGCTTGCGTGTCTCTCAGTGTACAGGTTCACAGAGGGGCAGGGTTTGCCTTCAGCAGCACCTAGGCAAAGATCCAGTGCAGGGCCCCTGCTGGTCCAGCAATCCTGCTAATAGCAAGCGTGAAACTATGCCACAGACCCCCCTTAAGTGGGTGACGGCAGGATTTGCACTTGCCCTTAGCCTGCGCATTGTTTCATGCCAGGCGCACAGAGGTTTGGCTTTTTAGGAAGCGACCCAGGGCCTGGTTCTGCTCTTCCTAAAACCAAGATAATACAGTGATTTCACTGGATTTGAACCAGGGTAAGCAAGAGCAGCATCTGCCCCGGAGCCCATTACAGGTGCAACCAGCCATGAGCCAGGCTTCTGCCTTTTCTTTCCCAGGCACATCCATCTTTTTCCTAATTACTCTGAGAGCTGTAGGACACCAGGCTATTTCCTGTGCTAAGGAGCATGATATTTAAAATAGCCACTAGAGGGTGGACAAAAAGCTCTCATCTTGATTCTTTTCTCCCTGCATGCTTCCGCCTGGGTTACAGTGGCCCGCAGTCCCCAGCAGAGCAGGGTCCCAATTGATCACACAGAGTGATACCAACAGAGATGTAACATGTCTACACTACCAAGAAGTGCCAGGCGTGGACCAAAAGTTGCATCTGCTCCACCATGATCTAGACCTGCTTGTCGATACCTACAGAAATGCCCACTTGCCTGCAACCTGAGGAGCTACTGCCTGTGCCATACACTTTGTGCACTTATTTACTTGGGAACACAGTGCCCTCCTGAGCTGGCATTTGGCATCCACTTTGGGCTGCTGGGAGTAGCTACATAAGATGTAAAGCAATCAAGTCCCAAGCCCTGCCCTGGCAGCTGTACGTGCCTGTATTCTTGTACGCCGACCTTGGGGCTGTCTGGTTTCCATACCTGCCCCCCAGGACATAATACTCCGCACAACTGTCACCTTCACAGAGTGAGGATCAAGGCTGATGTGCTTTCCTGGCCAATGCTGATCTCACCTAAGTCAATATTTACTCCCTGGGCCATAAAAATAGCTGTTCCCATCACCAGAACTCCCTGGCGCACGCTGGGCACCGAGTTAGCTAGCACAACCCCGCAGACTTCCTGGGATTTGCATTGTGCAACCAACACCGGAGGTGCCCCCATATCTCTTCCTGTTTCTGTATCAGCACATTAACAGTCCTGTCCCAAATAATGGGAGGGTGATACAAGTGAGATCACATGAGATCAGAGTGAGATGGTATATTTAAGTCTTGGAGAGGTAAGGAGCCTGAGAGGTCATGCAAGTGCCTTGCTGCTCTCCAGCTCTGCATCCATCTCCCTGAAGCAGCAGGACAGCACAAGAAGGGAGCAAGGTCGGGCACGTGGTACCTATTAGCGTGGACAGACTGTTATACCCAGCAGCATAACTGACACTGGGTTCCTTACCTGTGTAAACTGCACTGAGGATCATAGAGGGGCAGAAATGCAGTGCTTCAAGGTAGCTGGCATTACTGCAGTGCCGCAGCCTGGCAGGAAGCAGGTAACCACCTGTTTTCATTTTCAGCTAATCCGGGATAGAAGCAAACAGATGAAACCTAAACCAGTGCAACTGATGCTGGTAGAGTTTCCCCCTTGATTTTTCCAGGGGTAACGCTCCATTGGACTGGCTGAAGTGTCCCCACTTTATTCTGTATTCTCTCCACGGCTTTTTAACACTGCCGTCATGCTGGGTGAACGGATGGAAATGGTGCGGTCCCTAAGGCGGCACATGGAAGAGGGAAGTCTGAGCGAGGGAACCTGCCTTGAAAAGCTGAGTGTGAAAGATGGGGATGGCCCAAGGGCGAAGAAGTGACAGCGAGGGCTTGGGGCTCTGACATGTAGATGTCCTCACAAGCCACCAGCTACCTGGGTGTCCCCCACCACCAGAATGAGTGCAACAGGGGGTGGCAGGGGTTGCTCCTTGCTCAACCCCCTTTCCCACAGGAAGGGCACCTGGCTGGGACCTGGCAACACGGAGTCAGCCCCACTCAACGTCTCAGGGAGCAGGGGGGTGTCTTTAGGTGCAGCTAGAAGCTGACCTGGAGCCTGAGACTTTGAGCCTTGGGGGAAGGGAGAGTGCGTGCGGTGGGGAGGGCGAGGAAGGGGAAGTAAAAGCTATGAGGAACGAGAAGAGGCAGTGGGAAGAAGAGAGGGAGGAGAAGGGCAAGCGAGGGACGGAAGGTCCCTGGGGGAAAGCCCATGGGGGCAGGGGGTGGGACTGCAAAGTGTCTCTCCCAGGACAGGACAGGCGGGTGCAGCTCTAGGCTTATTTACTGCCTTCCCCACAGTAGTGTTTTCACCTTGCGCTGTCAGAGTCATTACCCAGAGCCCGGCCCAGGATTGGCTGGCTAAAAATGCCTCTCTAATCCCCGTGCTGATCTTTACCCCCTCCTCCCCATCTGCTATGACCTTCCTTCCAGTGTGCAGACGGAGCCAGAGAGACGGACCCAGCAGGCTTCGCAGGCAGCCAGCCAGTCCGCCAGCAGAGCACCCCCGCCCCTGGCAGGTGTGGGCACCTTGCCCCCCATGATCCGATGACCTCCACCATCCCTCCTCAAAGGTACGTCCAAGGCGGTGCTGCGGGCACTCGAGGCCGAGTGCTGGGTGGAGCTGGCATCAACGCGGTGTCCGGCTTTGTAGCCAGGCGGGTGCCCCCTGGCACCACGTGAGCTGTGGCAGAGATGCGGCTATGGCAGGGGGAGCTTTCCCACCTTTCAGTTGACCTGCTGTTAGTGAATGCCAGGGAGAGGGGAGGACTCTCACGTGGCAGTGGGATGGGCTGGTGGCAGTGGAGAGCTGGTAAGGCAGTATCCGGTTCTTCTCCTGAGCTCTGCAGCCTCATCCACGCCCACCTGGCATGGGCAATCCCTTGCTAGGGACATGCTCCCCGCTTGCTCATGCTGAATTTCCACTAGACATCCCTGTGCTCGGGGGGCATCCGGCTGCACCACCTGGAACTGCTCAGCCCAGGTGCCATTGCCCAGTGACTTTGCTGGTATGAGAAGGACAGCAGGCCCCACGACTCCGTTCTGCACTGCCCAGCTGCACATGGAGCAGTGTAATGCCCTAAATAAAGGGGCCACAAACTGCGCAGGACCTGGAGGAGGTGTCACCGGGGCTAAGGCTCTGAGGCACAGTGGGAGCTGTGGGCACTCAGCCCCTGGCCGGATCAGGCCCACAATGATCATAGAAGGAGCAGGGCATAAGGTGAATGCCCAGTGTAATACCAAACCTGGATGGTTTTACATCCGTTGTTGTGTGGAGCATGGGACATGTGTGGATAACAGGTCTCATACACATAGCCCAGCAGCTGTTACCTGGGGCCAAAGGCTGGAAGGTGCTGGTTAGAAAGCCCCACGTGAAGCTGGGGAAGGAGAGAGCCCTGGGCCCACATTCTGCACCCCAGGACTCCCTCCTGACCCTAAGGCAGGGGCTGCTTAAATTACATTAATATACACCCCTGCTCCAGCAGTGGCCTGTACGCACAGTCCAGCTCAGATTACTCCAGGGTACCTGCAAGGGGTTGCTGCTGCCTGGGATTACAGCTGCACCCAAATGCTGGTCCAGGTCCATGCCCCCATTGCATGGCCACATTGCACAGCACCAGAATTCGATCCCTAGGACTGTGGCTTTCAGACCCCCTTGTAGAGAGCACAGTTCACTCCTTCCTTTTCCCCCTGGTCTCAAAGGCTGGGAAACTGGCACCGGTCTGAGCTCAGCTGTGCTGCATTTAGGAACTAGCGACCCACGAACGCTGTCAAATCTGCATCCTTTCTGCTTTATGCAAAGCCCCACAGAACGAACGAAGCAGAGTAGAAACAGCAGGGCACGATCAGCGAGGCTGCTAGCACTGCCGCAGCTGGGCGAGACAGAGGGGGGATGCCCAACGGATGGGGAAGAGTCAGTTCACTGTCTAAAGCGCCAGTGATGCTATGTTGCCACATTTGTCCTAGTACAAATGAGGCATCGGGGGCGTATTCCTCTGCTTCCTCCTTTCTGCCTCTAAGGCAAACTGACCCAGGGTGGCTCTAAGCTCTGCCAGCTGGAAGAGACCCTTCAGACGGTTCCTCCGGCCCCAGTGCCGCCTGCATCCTGGGGATGCTCCGTCCCTTCCCTGCCAATGTGAAGGGCAGGAAGCAGGTGGCAGGAAGCTGGAGCTGTGCACAGAGGGCCAAAATGTAAGGTGCCTTTGAAATAGGCCCTCGCTTCCTTAAATAGACAGGAAAAGCAGTGGGTAGATGTGGGAGAGGCCTGGCTCTCAGACCAGGCTGGTGTTTTGGAGCCTAAGACCACGGGAGGAGTTAAACTGAGAATACAGGCTCCTCACCCAGGAGCCCCAGGCTGAGGATGGGCCCTGATGGGTTGAACTGGGCTCCTGAAGGCAAAGGGGGCTCCACTGACACCCTCCCAGTGGAAGCAGAGCAGACCTGGGATGCCGACTTAGGCGGGGGGGGGTGCTGTCTGCCTGGGTGCTATGTAGGGAGCAGGAAT